AGGTGTGTGGGCAGACGTGGAGCCAGGTAAAGAAGTTGGCAGGGAACCGGACGCAATGGGGACTTGCGGCTGAATCCCTATTTTCATCTAGGAACTGAATGAAACAATGATAATAATAATAGTAAATTTAAAACAAGATACAAATATGAAGAAATCAGTATTGAATGAATTCTTAAATTTCGGTAGAACTCTTCGCCTCAACCATCTACAGACATGATTATTTATACTGGTTCTCGGAGACTAATAAACATTCACACATGGACATGGTAACAGCAAATAAGTACCATTTTCAACAAATTTATGAAACATTAAGTATTAATGTAATATTATTGTTTCATTGAGTTTCGTGTGAAACATAGTGCTTCAGCAGAACATCTCCACTTCGTAATATTATCTGCGGTACTCTTTAGCCGGCTCCACGACCGTCCATACGCTCCCATCTCCTCCCCTCACAATCTCCTCCACTATAAATCTAGGACACCCAAGTTCTGGTTTCCTATTCGGTTTCCGCTCAAGCAATGTCCTGGGACGCGGTGTTATCTGATAGTCTCCACAGTGTGAATCTGGTCCATCTCCTTTTTCTTTGGCATATTTATTTAACTGCAGAGTTTCTTGTTGCTAATTATTTCAAACCATCTGGTCTTCAGTTATGAGCGAAGCCAGTTATTCATGAAGGTCCTCAGCCTGCCAAAAATACTTTTAATGATGCTCCTGCAAAGCCTGTGAGCCATGTAGAAGAACTGACTTCACAGTGATGTTTGAAATCAGCATTTTGTTCTTTATGCTGAGTGCAGCGTCTTTCTACACTGATTCTAGAATAATGGATTTCTGTCTTGCTTTTACGGTCCTGGTTTTGACATCCTCATCCTCCTCATCTCCTCATCTATCTAGTCAGCAAAAGAAGTGACCTCTTTCAAATTTACCCCACTGAAAGTGATTGGTGCTTGTTATTGTTGGTAAGTTTACTTCAACACCTCTTTTTTCTCTGTGTTTACTTGAAGTCCCGTCTTCGCTGATTCTTCTACGAATTTGTCTGTTTTTGCCTGTAGCTCTTCGAGTCAGTATAAAACTGGTAATAAACCGGATCTTCTCGAGTCCTTCTATCGGTTGAACGCATTCCTGTCTCCTTGGTCCTCATAGCTGATCTCATGGTCCAGTTTCCCACAGTCAGAAATATTATCCGTTATTTTGGACAGCCTTGTCGTACTCCTGTCTTCACTTCATGAGCTTAATTGAGCTTCGCTTTTAATAATAATAATAATAAGGATTTGTTTTATTCCAAAACAGTACCAATGTTACAGTGTGTAATTTTCAGCATTTGGTACACTGTTGCATCCAGTTTTATCGAATGACATTAAAAACAATTATAAATATAATATTACAGGATTGTTAGTTGTAGTTCTTATTTAGTACCAGTAGTGACAGTTAGATTATAAACATACGAAAAACTGTAAAATAATGATAATAATGTTAATAGTTAAGATTATCAGTCAGTTATATCGAACAATATTAAAAGCAATTTAGGGAATATTATTACAGGATTGTTATTGACAGTGCTTATATGATATTTGTAGTGACAGTGAAGTCATATATATATATATACAATAAGATATTGTAAATAATAATAATAAGGTTAGCAGCTAAGATTGTCAATTAGTTGAGGTAGTGTCACCACTGACTACCAATAGGAGATAATAAAAGGGTCAATTATTTGGCTAACAACATTGTAATTCACAAGTTTCACACTTTACATTGTCTCTATCACATTGAACACGCGTTGGCAAAATATGGTATCGTTGAGTTCCTATACTTGATAAGACGAGCATATGATCTTTTGTGCTGACATCTGGTTCTACCAGATGAGATGCAAGTTTGAGGAGAGTTGAGAATAGAAGGGGTGTTGCGGGTCAGACAATATAGATCTAGACCATTTCTCGGATGAGTTTAGATGTCTATTAACTAATGTAGTGACAAGCTGACTAAGTCGAACACGACTTGCTCTACTGACAACCTTTAATACCCTTCTCAAAATGACATAGTCATTTTTCAGTATTCCAGGAAAGACTTAGGTTGGGGAGTAGTAAAGTACAACAGATAAGTTAGAAGAGCTAACAAATTGCAAAAGCAGAGGTTGAATGATTCCAGATTGTGAATCACTGGATACATAGCAGCAGTATATAGCTCCTGAATAATGTTTATTTATGTTTGTAGCAATGAACTCCGTAGTGTTGTCACAATTTTCAAAATACTGCACCGTCAACGCTGTCAATAATAATAATAATAGCTTTATTCCAAACAGTATTTGTGGTACAGGTATGGAATTTTCAGCGTGCATTACAATATTGCATCTAATTACCTCATAAATTTTATAAGATTTTAAAAATAAAAAGCAACAACAACAAAAAGAAAAAAGATAAATAAAAGAAATAAAAAAGAACAGCATTGCATTCACATTTTAAACAATGCACCACAGGATATGAAATATAAAATTAGTGTGTAATAGAATATGTGAGCAACAATATAATAGTAACAAAGAAAGGAGAACAAAAGCTAATGGGAACTATTTGTTAGAGTGCCGCAGTAAGGTGATCGTGTCATGCCTAACAGTTTTCTCATCACATAACAGCTGTGCCAGATAAGGTATTGTGGAGTTTTTGTACTTGGTAGTCCTGGCATATAGCCTCCTATAGTTGCTTCTAGTTCTACCAGATGAAATGCAAGGAGAGAGCTGCGTATAGAGAGGGTGTTCGGGGTCTGACAATATAGAATTCGCTAGTTTCTTACATGACATTATATGTCTATCCACAATAGTGTTAACCAGTTGGTTTAACGAAATCCCACTTCCCCTACTAACAGCTTTTAGTGCCCTACGCAGCGAAGCAAAGTCTTTCTTAAGTAGTCCAGGAAAGATTAATGGGGAGCAGTAAAGAGGGATGGTTAGAATACAAGAGTTGACAAACTGAGAAAGCAAAGACTGCTTTATACCAGACTGCCTTAACTTCCTAACGTAGAACGTTAAGCGAAACATCTTTCTAGTAACTAGCAAGATGTGAGAGGACCAGGAAAGATCGGAGGAAATACTCAGTCCAAGGTACTTGACATTAGATGTAGTTTCAACCTCTATGCCGTCAATGATAGTGGGACCATGTGAGCTAGCTAGTTGTTGTAGGTCACGTTTTCGTCTGAAAGTGAAATTTACTACCTGACATTTAGACGGATTCAGCTTAAGACCGTTTGAAGAGGACCACTGACTAATTTCCGAGAGAAAGTTATTTAATTTGGAACAGTCTGACTGAGAGTTGACAGGCATGGAGACAGAAAGGTCATCAGCATACTTGACAAAAGTGGCTACATCAGAATGGGGCAAGTCATGTAAGAAAAAAGAAAACGGAAAAGGAGAAAGAACAGCACCTTGAGGAACACCAGCTAAAGTAAGTGAGGTAGTGGAGGACTTTCCATTGTAGACAGTGTACTGCTTCCTATCAGAAAAGTAGGAATACAACCACTTATTTAACCAGCTCTCACTCTGTGTTGCAGCAAGCTTACTTGACAAGAGAGACCTAGGAAGAGAATCAAATGCAGATGTGTAATCAAGGAAGGCACACCGAACATATTTAGCTCCTCTATCTAAACTAGAGACTATATTATGATATAGAACAACAGCGGCATCTAAGGTACACCTACTATGTTTATAGGCAAACTGGTTGGGGTCATTGAAAGGCTTTAAAGAGGGTTCAAGATTAAGTAAAATAAGTCTTTCCATAACTTTTAAAAAAGGTGACGTAATAGCAATCGGTCGAAACTTAACAGTAGGTCCACTTGTTGATTTAGGCACTGGAACAACCTTGATATTTTTCAATGAGTCAGGAATAATACTTTTGGAAAAAGATTCATTGAAAATGTCGGTTAATGGGTAACATAAGATGTCAGCACACTTCTTAAGGATAACAGCAGGAACTCCATCAGGACCAAGGGACTAAGTAGGTATGAGAGATTGAATACACTTAAGGACATCATTCGTGTTAAAACATGAGAAGCAAAAGCTTTTTAGAGTTAATTAAGTTGAGGCTAAGATTTAACTGCTATTTTATCCTCCATTCAGTGATGACGATGATGATGACAATGCGTAGAGTGGGAATTTGATAGATACATTATTTGTTTTCCCTAAACCTAGTTTGTTCTGGGCGGACTTTTGTACCCAGAGTACGTTTTAGTCTTTTCAGATTTTAAATTATATGCAAACTGATCACCTCATTATAATCAATGTGTCTGTAACGGTCTTGACTGTTTTATTCGAGGTTTAGATATCAAATGTGTGATGTAGCAAAAACTAGGCTATGGTAAATGATATCTCTTTAATTCGATATTCTATTTTGGCCTAAAAGATATTTGATCAAATGCTCTAAATTGGTCATTTTTAAATTCTTTTTATATTTCCCAAAATTCAAAATGCTAAATGATTTCATTCTGTATAATAACGAGTGATTATCATCTTATCAAATTACACACTTATTTCTTTCTGTTATTCAAATAAACTGTTAACCTTTCAACATATATATATATGTATAACACGAAGAAAAGTACTATGGTTAAGATTCTCTTCAGTATTTCAGGTCACATACAATGGGATAATAACCCGAAAGATGGGATAGAAAATTCTCTCTTCAACCGATCTGATATTACCACTGACAATATAATGCAGAGGGAATAAAAGATCACCATGAAAAAATAATATTTATCGAAAATTTACAGAGAAAGTAAAGAAGAAAAAAAAAACATCGAGGTAAATATCCTATCAAGGTAGTTCATCGCTACACTGTTTTCGCTTTTTTTCTCTCTAAAAATTACTTTCACCTGTATTAGGAAGGGATTGGAAATATTAACCAGTAATATAATAATTTCCCAATAGTTCATTCGACAAGCGATAACAACCAATCATCGCAATTCATTATATGATTGTAGAAGTTCAAAGTATCAGCCTTGATTTTATATTTGATGTTATGTAATACATAATGTTGAATACTTTTAACACTTTATTTTATCATACAATTTATTCAAAAAGTGATTTTTATTTGAGGATATAGTTAATCTAAGCTGGAAAATATGATATTCTATTTTAAATATGATACTGTAATTTTTTATGATTATGTGAAAAGTTAACAGGAAATATGTCACAGCATAAAGGATTATCAACACCGCAAAATAAGTTTCTTGAAACTATTGCTGCACGTTCAGATGCAATACGTAAGTTAATGATTTTTTTATAAATATTGGCTTACTTCTTTTCCGTTGAGTATAATTTGTTTAATATTGAGAATCATTAAACTTGTACCTCCTCTCTGTCAGTAACTTTGGGTGACAAGTCTAAAGAATTGTTTGCTGGTTCATTATTTGAGTAAAGTTTCCAGATGTTCTATACCTTTTTTACTTCCATGGTGCAGAACTACTGAGATCTGTAATAAGTTAACTGCTACATAAATAGTAGTAATTTCTTAACGTGGAAGTCGGTTTCACTCTTGATAACTTCATTAAATATGTGTGTCAATGTTTTCAGTGGAAGTTTCTTCCTTATTTTTATTAGTATGTAGGTCATACCTCTTTTTTAACTAGAATTATGATCGTGTGGTCAGTGTATGCTTGGATATGAATCCGGAAAGTTTTCTCTGGTTTGGCGTTATATATATTAGACATTTGACATAAACACCTTGTTCAAATTATGTTTTTTATGAACAATAAGCTAAATACAAATTTAATATACTTATAAGAACAGAATTATCTTCAGTGATTTGGAATACTTGTAGACACAATGACAGCAGTAGCTGTGATATATGGCTGTTGATAGTTGAAGATTTCAAAATGTTAACTTTCTCTAACCATAGGTGTTTGCATTCTGTCTTCCACATTAAGGGGGTTTAATATGGTTAAAAATACTGAAGTTAGACCTGGAGTCTTAGATACTAAGGCAAAATCGATCGATGAGATTGTGAAACTGCATTAATTGAGATGTATAGGACATATATTGCATAAACCCAGCTGTTGCCTTACTCTTTGAACACTGTTGGTTGACGAAGGAGTGGGTAGGGAGAAACATTCAGGGTTGTCAAACCGAAATATGATGTCAAGTCTTTAATTATTGGATTATGTTACACCCTGGCTAGGATCCTCGGGATGCTAAGATCCCCTGACTGGAAGCTTAGCGACGTGGCTAAGAATAGTTATCAGTAGCACAGATGCATTTACGCTTTATAAACTCTGAGATCGATTAGATTCTCATCATAACCATGTAGTTATTGTTTCTCCAGCAAATTAGAGTTTGTTACGGTTTCTTTGCATTTCTTTTTCACCTCACTTTTATGTGTTGCTAATGAAGTGTTGCGACTTAAAAGTTCTATGTCAGAAATTCAGTCCAGGTTAAAACGCGTAAAAGAGTTATTTATCGCTTTGACAATTAACAGGACAATGTCAAGTTAATCGCATTTCACTAGGGAATGTTTGAAGAACGCAGTAAAATGATATTTGTAGAATTAGTCGGGAATTTTATTCCACATTCGCTAGTAAATTATGTAACGGCAAGATATTTCCCCATAGGTACTAAAATAATATCAATAATAGCTGTTTAAACAAAATAAAAATAAATTTGCAGTTAGTCTAGACGTTGTATTTTTCTGTGTCACGCAATATCTCATTTTACAGATCAATTTTTCAGATCTATGGTATATAAGTAGGGAAGATTTTTGTTAACAGTGTTTTATTTCACTCAGAATAAGTAAGATGTTGAAATATGTTGCCAGTCTTAAAATTTATCCTCCTTATTTTCGGTAACTTTGTCGATTCGAGAGTAGATTTAAAGTGACATCTGATATCTGATCATCAAACATCCAGTAAGTATTGATTTAAGTAGCTTATTTAAAATTATCTAACACTCAGATCCCTGGAAGCAGTGTTAATTCAATTAATTCCAGTAATGTCAGGTATCATAGTGTGTTTGTAGTACTTGAGTGTACACCAATCAAACACATGGTTAGCGTTCTACTCCTGACTAATGCGCTCCTAAACCTGGCTTAGCTGGTGATAAGTTCAGTAAACATGTAAGAATGGAAATGAAACTAGCAACTCCACCTCACTGAAACCGTTTCAGCTACTGAAACTTCGAAAGTCAAGCTTGGATGCCTATGTTCCACTCGGAAAGGAAAGAAAGATTTCAATTGAATTATAATAGTCGTTTTGGTTAATTTAATTTTGTTTTCGTTTGCATTATTATTATCATCTTTACTTTTAATTTTTGATACCGCTTGGTCCACTTTAAATCTCTAAATACCTATTCAAGTCGTCAACAATCTTTTGTAGCCCTGTTATTCATTCTCTTCAAATTTAAGAACCTAGAACTTCTATCATTTTGCCTGAGCAATTTCTAGTAACACTTAGTGCAATCTCAGAAATATAAACAAAAAATGAATGAAAATTCCCATAGAAAAATCAACTTTGTAACAGTTATTTTCGTCATTCTATTCTGAGATCACCCAACACACTGTCACATATTCTAATATGCTATTCAAACTTTTATGATGGGAATATTTACATATGCATTTTTTTCTCAGAAAATGACCACGGCATCTTACTTTTTCTCTAAGGAGGTTAGTCTCTATCACTTCTTTATTTCTGGTGCGCTTTTCATAACTCAAATTCACAAGACTAGTTTGTTTTTTACTAAAGAGGACTTTAATTGGAGAACTTATCCTGCAAATATTTTCGTTCTTTGTTTATTCAATAAAGTTACTATGCCAAACTCTCAGCTATCTAGAAGGTATTTCTCTTGCGTTCTTCAAAGACAGTAGTATGGCATCTGGTACTGATGAAAATTTGTAAGTAGTACATCGGTGAAGTTGTCTGTGACAATCTTAAATAGCAGAATACTGGATTAAGTTGTGAAGAGGAGAAATGAAGATCACTGTGAATGCGCGAAATGAACACCGCAGAGTATCAGTACGAATACTTCCTGAAAACTGAATTTTTCACCGTAAATATTTTGGCTAAACAAACAACTGCAGCACCAAATATTAGTGTGTTCTGCTGTTACAGTAACACAGTGAACGAACAAAAGTCTGTAATGTAGAAAGAGAACAACTCAAAAACAAAACAGTTCTGTTTCAAGTAGTTCAGTTAAATATTCGCTGTTAACTCCGGAAATAGATATCAGCGTAGCTGCTGTAGACATCGTTTACAAAACAAACTTTTTGAAATAATATTACGAAATCGATGATTTTCAAACAAGTAAAAGTAATCTTTACAGCTTGAGTATTAACAACCGAAGTGTATCATGATTTCCTTTCCAAACAACACAACAGTGTCAAATCTTTTTATTCAAGTGCTTATCACATTAAGTATTAAAAAGTAAACTAAAAATTGCAGTTGATATCATAAATCAGGAATAAGAAATCCGGATGGAAATAAAGAAAATCGTAAGGTACTTTTGAGCATAGCACAGAAAACTCCACAACAGATATTACAGTTGTGTAAGAATAATTTGATAAAACCCTCCTTTTAAATAGCCAAACAAGACATCTGACATGATTAGGCGAGTAACATGAAATCACATAAAAACCAACTCTCTAAGGAAATTCAGATCGCAATCGACCTCTTCTGTTCTACTTATTCAAATTGGGAGGTGCAATTGTCCTATTATAACTTTTATACTAGCTCAAAAGATTCAGAATATGTATAAATTGTGCAGTAGACAAGCCCTCGAGTGGAACTCGAAAGGGAAACAGCGAGTTGGTCGTCAGTGCAAGGGTGACTTGGAGGAGGTCGTGTGAAGAGGAGATGAAAACGTGTGGGCAGACTTGGAGCCAGGTGAAAACTCTAGCAGAGAATCGAACACAATTGAGACGTACGGCTGAAGCTCTATTCCTCTGGGAATTAAAGGAAACAATAATAATAAAGTATAAATTGTATTTTAAAGACTGTTAAGAAAGAAAAGAGAAAGGAAACACAAGAATGAATTAATGTAGATTGCCAACCAAATTAATGTTCAGTTGAAGAAAGAAGGTTGAAGGCCACGATAGTAAAAGGGATTTAACAAAACCGCTACTGTATGCATAGTTGGCTTTTGTAGCGGTCTGTTTAAATCACTGGACTACGTAAATTTTCTGTCCATCAAAATACATCGTTTTCACTGCATTTCGAATTGTTTTAATCTTCTCATTACTACAGTGACTCGCAATCTATGCTTGCGCACTATTTCAAACAACTCACTAACTATCACAAGGAATTTCTCTTAGGAAATGTAGGAGCCATTATGTGGGATAACAATGGGGCATAGTTCAGATAGAACATTATTACTTCAGATGATATATACTATATATATATATTATTCTTCACAAGGGGTAAATATCATGCGATGAAACTCGCTGAAAATTCTATACTGTGTATAAATGCATTTTAAGAATAAAGCTATCACTATTGTTATCATTATTCTTTTTATAGTTCACCGTTTCCCTTGTGTGAAGCAACAGCTTCTGCTGTGGGCAGAAAATGTAGCTTAAATGTCATAGAACGACTTGGCCGAACCAAATTCATCGATTCTTCTCAATTTCCCCCTTTCTCTCTTTTCAAACCTATAACCTCAGAATATACCTTATACATATTTTGAATCTCTTACTCTTATGAAAAATATTCCTGCTCACATGGGCTCGCAGTTTTAATAATTACCATTTCTGAAAGATATTCATCGTATTCAAATTATTTTTTCAGATTATTCCTCATTAATTAGAAGAATTTGAATAAGTCATTTAGAAGACAAATTTCGCGAGATGATTTCATTTCGTAGTTTCTTTACAACCACTTTACAATTAACATGGTTAACAATAATAAAATGAAGTTCATGACAAATACTCAGTTAAATTAAAAACAAAAGTACATGTTAATGACCAGTCATATTTAAATAGGTCATCTTGTCCATGGTATGCGAAGATTGAAGTCTATTGTTTTTTGTACACACAGTTTAGGCTGTATGTGATCAATCCAAAGTGCTTCCATCACCTTGAATTAGAGTTATGTGAAATAATTGTGAAACAGTCATTAATATTGATTTTGTGACCTGACATTATTAAGTGTTTTGCAATGGATGATGCTGGATTTATATTCAGATTAATCGCGTTGGGATTTTCTATATGATTTAGTAGCCATTTTGGAACATGTTCTTTTCGACCAAATTGGAACATTCTGTTGGTTCTACCTATATAGGT